ATACAGGGTTAAGTGTGAGGGTACAGAGCCTTTTTTCAGCCCCCAAGGTGAGCTGGATGAGTTCCTTTCCGCTGGATTGGAATTGGAACTCAACTTTGCTGCAGTTGTACCAAATGGCAAAAGTAAAACGTCACAAACTTAATGTGAACATGCAAATTGACTCTCACCTGTGGACAGGGCACCAAGAAGCACGACAACGGAGGCCAGGGTCCCCATCCTCCCAGAGTCTGTGGAGCCAATTGGTGTGACCCTGTCATGCAATGAAACAAATTATCCAATGACATTGCATTGGCAGTGGTGCAAAAACACAAACAACAAAACTCAACACATTCCACAAATAAGACTGCGTGGATTGATAAAGAAATATATAATAAATTTTGATTTAAAGCTTTCGTGACTGCAGTAATTAATATTCTTAGCTCTTTCGGTAAAGTCACGTTGACGGGAAACAATAAACAACGTGACTTTACCGAAAGAGCTAAGAATATGAAATATATAATAGGCAACGTTTCGGGCAATGGCCCTTCTTCATAGCACATAGAGAGGCAAGAGAGACAAAGTGCAGAAGAAGAGTTGCAGAACAAACCTTACAGCATGGGGCCTGGTGAGAATTGCATTGACAAAATGTTTTCTGATGATCAGTTATTAAATCGGCATACGAATAGTTATCCAACAGTCGCTATTGAGTAACAAACCCTTCAATAATCACACAGTATTGCAAAAATAAACTATTTTACATAATTAATATGGGATGGGTCGGATCGCGCGTTTATTCACGTGGCAACTTTATTTGGCTGTGCCAGGTGGAAGAGGGGTGTACGACACACATTGAAAAAAAAACTCCGTAAAGTCACGTAGAAAGAAAATATATTTAACAATAGCATACAACGTTTCGATTGCAACACAAGCAATCGTCATCAGGTAGAACTAAATTTGAGAGAGAGACAAAACACACACACACTGTGTGTCTATGTTGTGTGTCTCTCTCTGTGTGTCTGTGTTGTCTCTCTCTGCTTGTGTGTCTGTCTGTGTGTCTCCGTGTCTGTGTTTTGTCTCTGTCTCAAATTTAGCTCTACCTGATGACGACTGCTTGTGTTGCAATCGAAAGGTCGCATTCTATTATTTAACTTATTTTCTTTCTACGTGGCTTTACCGAAATAACTCAAGGGTAATTCCTGCAGTCACGAAAGCTTCAAATCAAGTTAGAACTATTTTTTTTATTTTACCAGGTAAGGCACACTGAGCGATGTAACTATTTTTCAACGGTTTTACTTCACTTGACTCCTGTGTCGTGGTCAAATCTTGTAATCAAAAGTTAGTCCACTTCCCGTTGTCCAATCAATAAAAAATGTGCACACGTACTCAGATCCGGTGACAATACATGCCTGTATGAAAATCCGCATCGATTAATCACTTAATTGCCTCCTTTCAAGCAATTAAAATTTTGTATGGACGGCTTATTAATGCTATATTTTTTGTGTAGGTCGAAAACGCCGCGGTCCCTAAACTGTGGACTCGCCTCGCACAAAAAGCACGCGCCACGTGTCTCAGGCGCCATTAAAGTACTGAAGATTCATTTATAAAATAACCAATTATTTCAAGTAAGCGTTGATGTGGGAGCAGGCGCCGCATCATTGACGTACTTCTCGAGGGCGAGTTAAACGAAGTTGTGAATAAAACCGTTGTTGAAAATAAATGTTTAAAGAAGTTTTTTAGAAGCGAGCTGGCCACAAATGATAGTTCAACGAAGTTGCTTTTTCACGTGGAAATGTATAGCAGCCAAATAATCTAAACGCATGGTTCTAAATGTGGGAGGAAAAATCGGAGACCCGCAAAAACATCCACATGACCATGGGGAGAGACACGCAAACTCCAATATACAGCAGGCATCAGGGTCGGGATCAAACCCACGATCTCATGCATACCAGGCAGCGTCTATTATCACAATGTGAAGAGTTTGTAATCAGTATGTTGATGCAGTTACATGTACATTTATGACGCATTTCAGCGTTGGAGCAAAGGCAAGTGAACTATAAAACCAGTTAACCCCACATTGGCATTGTACTCGTGCGACGTAACCCAAAACGTAATTATAATTAATAACACTGGTCGCAAAAGGCCTACATGTTCGTATTTCAATTACTGGAGTCTTATTGATCCCTGTTGAAATTGTGTACGTCGTGTGAACGTGAGGCACGATCAAACTCAAGGTGTTTGAGAAAAGTACTCGTTCGAATACTTTTTAAAAAAGTTATCTATTTAAACCGTGCACCGATAGCCCAGAGAGAGTTACCAGCGTGTTCATATTATCTCAGTCACGGGATGTTTCTTCCAGACCCAGGGGTCGGCATCCTGCAGTTTTGGAGTGGCATGCGTCTCTTTAAGTTCTGCTTCTTGACATTACTTATTAAGGACCACCACCGTCTCGGATTCACCACATTGCATTGCGGCTCTTGAACCATTGCGGTTTTTTTACTACCGAATTTGAAAAAAAAATGTCTCTTCTTGTTTATTATTTGGTTGGCGACCCCTGTTATAGACGTAAGGTTTAAGTTCCACGCAAACCTTTATCCTCGCTGTCTCAGATGGCGCAGGTAGCCAACTGGCTGCACTCAAAGTGTTCGTGCCACTGGGTGCGTCCCGGGTTTCTCCGGGGCGGCTCGGCAGGGCGAGCAAAGAAGGCGTCAGATGCCCTCCCGGTGCTTCCTGCCGATGGTGTACCGTTTGAAGCCATGGGCGGGGAAAATTGGGCAGAATTTTCCACGCGGGAGTATAATGGGCGGCGGGTCCCCCCGGCCGCAACAGATGGCATCCGAGGGAAAGCGCAGTGGTGGTATGAAATTTGACAAAAACAACTCCCGTTTATTAACTTTGCGAGTTTTGAGTTTGCGCTGTTTCGTCCTTGCTTCAGATGTGGTGCAGATCCAAATTGTGTGGTACGCCTTTATCCGCAACATTCACAGCGTCTTGCGTACGATTACAGGAGCGCAATTTATTTTAAACCCGCCAAATGTGTATTGTTTTTCGTGCCTTTTGCTCTAATTTTACGCAAGTCTATCCATTTAAAAATTCAACTGTCGCAAATGCCCTCTCTAGGTCTGGTCGTCCGCTTTTAACGACTGCTTTTAGAAATAATGAAGATAGGATTTACTCGAATTATCCAAGCCTCCTCTTGTTCACACTGTGAATTTCATGAGCAAAATACACCTTCCCCATGTAAGAAATTCCATCGTTGCTCTCGGCCTCATAAGCAGATAAAAAAAATGGGATTAATAAAGCGTTGAGATGTAACCGTATCTCAAGATACTGTTTGTCATGTTTTGCAAGGTCAAATATTAACTGCTTTCACTTCCGTCTTTAGTTACTGCCATCCAATGGAAGTACTGCAAATACAAATTCTATTCTGTGATATGCAATTCACGGAGACGTCTCTCTTGACGAAAATTATTGACATTTACACAAGTGGATGAATTATACAATTGTAACACAATTATATTTTTAAGTCACGTAATTTGCTTCATTGGTGTCAACATATACTCATTTCAACCCACAAACACAGCAGTCAATTATGTGTTGCTTCACTGCAATAGAAAACGTTGTTTATTGAAAGATCTCCTAATAAAGTTAAGAGGGAAAATGTTCTCCATACATCACTCGCGAAGACATCGTTAAGAGAGACTTCATCTTACGTCAAGGCTTTCTTTGGTAAAGGAGCATTGTGTAACCTCGTTATTATTCTTAAACATTGTATCACATTCCAGGCCAGCCGGATTGATTCTAGATATTCATTGCCAATTATTGAACACCCCTGACTTTGTAGCTATTGACATTTACAGACCAATACCACATTACTCTTTTAAACAGATATGATTTTCATTCACCGAGCGCACATTTAATCAAACATTCAATCAGCGGTTATGACAACATGGACACGTGTAAAGGCTTAAAAATCGGTTTAAAAATGCACCTACCAAATCACCTAAGTTTTATTTTCCCAAAAAAGTCAAAATATGGCATCGCTCATTGCAACGTTTTTCGAAAAATAACATCACAAACGCGAGCACGATTGTCAGCCAAGGAGGTTGGCGACGAAGCGTTTAAAAACAACAGTGGCTTTACCTGCACGGCATGGCTTCGCCTAAGACGAGCGTTCGAGCACGCGCACCGCGCTTTGACGACAACGACGACGACGGATTGCTTTACGCAGCGTGGGTGGATTTTTTTACGGGAACTGAACCGAGTGAAAACACCAGCGGTGAGAACTTGGGCTGAGGCGTTGGTGGGCAGGGCGGCTTTCACCGCGAGTCATGCGCGGTGGGAGGGTGGCGGCACGCTTGAGGAGGAGGAGGAAGAGGAGAGCGGCACACGGGGTGAGCAAGTGGTGGACCTCGTGATTGGGATGTGGCTGAAGGGAAGGCGAGTCAAGGAGAGAGAGAGAGACTTTTCCATTGCTGGCGAATCACATTCCAGGAAGCCAACGAGAAGTTATGCTCAAAATGGTTATCGTCAAATGGAAGCCACTACTCACAGAACCGAACCTCAAATGGTAGGTCAAAAATGTACTTGAGACAAGTTGTACAATTACAGGGTGGCTCAAACAAGCAAAGAGAATTTTGATTGATTGTCGCAACACAAGCGATCGAAACATAGTTTTTTATAATCTTAGTTCTTTCGGTAAAGTCATGTTGAAGGGAAACAAAATAATAAAAAATATATAAAACAATAAAAATTATCACGACGTTTCGACCATAACACAAACGGTCGTCATCAGGTGTGTCGGTTTGCATTCATTTATTTATTTTTAAACGGTGTATTTATTTATTTATAATAAAAAAAACGTTAGCGCCACGCGCAGCGATTTGGTAGTTTATTTAGAAGGACTAGTCCATCTATGTTCTGCAAAGAGGAGGGGGGAGACGAAAAATTAATGTATGCTGTCTGAAAGCCACTGTAAGCGTGAACAATCAATTAAGACCTGAAATGGTTTATCAAATCTTTCCAATGATTGCTAAGCCAGAATCCATCTTCTCGGTTGAAATTGTCTCTGTGCTTGAAATTGTCTCTGTGCTTGCAAGAACAGAGACACTGCCCCCGGGTTCGCCGACTCTTCATTCCCACGAGCCGCCGCTGCTGCCTTGTGCCCCCTCCACGATGCCGCCGATCCAGTGCTGGTACCGCAGGACGTCGGTGTACACGCCAGGACGGTTGGGCAGGCCACACTGGTAGTCGCCGAATGAGCTGATGCCGACGAGGTGCCAGTGGCCCTGCTCCTCGCACATGAGCGGGCCGCCCGAGTCTCCCTGGTAGACGACGAGATGACCCGGAAGGGAAAAAAAAATCACACGCACGAGGGTATGCATGTATGTATGCTGAACTTCTTTCGCACCGTACATAGCCAACAGTGCCAATCGGAGGTTGTGATAATTGTTGACCTTTCGAAGTAGTAATCGGCCCCGATGTGATGATGATCACTATAACGTCACGAGATTACTATAACGTCTCGTTATAAATATACAGTGAACTATAACATCGCGTGATTACTATAACGTCACGTGATTACTATAACGTCACGTGATTACCATAATGTCACGTGATTACTATAACGTCACGTGATTACTATAACGTCACGTGATTATTATAATGTCGCGTGATTACTATAATGTCACGTGATTACTATAACATCACATGATTACTATAACATCGCGTGATTACTATAACGTCACGTGATTACTATAACGTCACGTGATTACTATAACGTCACGTGATTACTATAACGTCACGTGATTATTATAACGTCGCGAGATTACTATAACGTCACGTGATTACTATAACGTCACGTGATTACTATAACGTCACGTGATCACTATAACGTCACGTGATTACTATAACGTCACGTGATTACTATAACGTCACGTGATTACTATAACGTCACGTGATTATTATGTCGCGAGATTACTATAACGTCACGTGATTACTATAACGTCGCGAGATTACTATAACGTCACAGGATTACTATAACGTCACGAGATTACCATAACGTCACGTGATAACTATAACGTCACAGGATTACTATAACGTCACGTGATTACTATAACGTCACGTGATTACTATAACGTCGCGAGATTACTATAACGTCACGTGATTACTATAACGTCACGTGATTACTATAACGTCACGTGATTACTATAACGTCACGTGATTACTATAACGTCACGTGATTACTATAACGTCACGTGATTATTATGTCGCGAGATTACTATAACGTCACGTGATTACTATAACGTCGCGAGATTACTATAACGTCACAGGATTACTATAACGTCACGAGATTACCATAACGTCACGTGATAACTATAACGTCACAGGATTACTATAACGTCACGTGATTACTATAACGTCACGTGATTATTATAACGTCGCGAGATTACTATAATGTCACGTGATTACTATAATGTCATGAGATTACGATAACGTCACGTGATTACTATAACGTCACGTGATTACTATAACGTCGCGAGATTACTATAATGTCACGTGATTACTATAATGTCATGAGATTACGATAACAACATTGTGGGATTGCGACGTGCCAGGGAGAGACGCGCATGCGAGGGGGTCAGGAGTGCGACGTACGCCACACGTGTCGGGGCCGCCCTCGGCAAAGCCGGCGCACACCATGTTGTCCGAGATGTCGAAGCGGTCGCGCCAGTCATCCTGGCACTTGGTGTGGGACACGAGCGGCACCCCTGCCTCCTGCAGCACGTCTGCTAGCTCTCCTGCCATCACGAGACACGTCATCACCAGACACGTCATCACGAGACACGTCATCACGAGACACGTCATCACGAGACACGTCATCACGAGACACGTCATCACCAGACACGTCATCACGAGACACGTCATCACGAGACACGTCATCACGAGACACACCGTCACGAGACATGTCATCACGAGACACGTCATCACGAGACACGTCGTCACGAGACACGTCATCACGAGACACACCGTCACGAGACACGTCATCACGAGACACGTCGTCACGAGACACGTCATCATGAGACACATCATCACGAGACACGTCGTCACGAGACACGTCGTCACGAGACACGTCATCACGAGACACGTCATCACGAGACACGTCGTCACGAGACACGTCATCACGAGACACACCGTCACGAGACACGTCATCACGAGACACGTCATCACGAGACATGTCATCACGAGACACGTCATCACGACATGCACTAAAGGAGACACGTCGTCACCAGACACGTGCCACCAATCTAAGGTTGCCACCTCACGAGGTGCAAAATGATCCTGGTCAGATCTTTTCTCTCTTGTCTCCTTCAATGTCCCCTCCTCTAGTCCTCTTCATTCTCTGTCTCTCTCTGTCCCTCCTCCCCCCTGGGCCCAATCCCATGTTCAGTCCTTCTACCCTCCTTGGACCCCTCCACTGGAATTAACTTCCCTTGTACACTTAGCAGTCCTCCTTCTTAACCTTCTTCCGTTCCTATATTCACCTCTTTCTAATTGACCATTCACTTCCTCTTCCCTCCCCTCGCCCCTCCACTCCTTCCCATCCCTCCCCTAGCCTTTCGTGATCCATAAGTAACCTCTATTGCGGTCACTCATTCCTCAATCCTTGTACGTCTCTGCCATCTAAATTATTCTGTTCTGTCAGCGTTTTGTAAGCTGTGTCAAGCGCCTTGAGTGAAGGCAATCTATATATATGTTGTGTGCTTAATGATGACGCGGAGGCAGGTCTTCATGTAAGGGCTTGCGCCGGTTCATTAACAAGGGTTGGTGACAACTGTCACCAGAGGAAGGTGCCCTACACTTGGTCCTTCACGTGGACCCCCGGCTCTGTCTGTCCCTAGCTCGGCTATCTCTTGGGCTCTCTCTCTCTCGAGTCGGATCGGGGGTTCAGCCAACACCGACCGACCGACCGAGGAGAGCAGCACCTTCCACGACTACCGCCGGCTTCTCTCCAGACTCCCTGAGCTCTACCCCTCTGGCTGTCTCTTCAACCGCTCTCTCCATCCCAGGCTCCCACAACGACCCCGCTTTCGTCACGGGGCCCCCCTTAAGTACCCCGAGGGGACATGACATCATCATACCGCACAGCGCGTATGACGTCACGTCCCCCTACTACTCCTCTACATATATATAAAAATCATATTAGATAATGTAAAGAAGAATATCTCACAATGCCAGAAGAGGGGAGAATAACACATTCATGCATTGCCTTGAGTGGTGCGTTATTATTGTACCACTAACAAAAATTGGGACTTTTAAGACTTACAGATTCCCCCAGGACAGCTACCTCGAAAAGAGGACAATCCTGGGAAAACCAGGACAGGTGGCAATCCTCACGCATCACTCGGCATGTAGCAATTCAATATTCACTCCGTCCCCCCACTCCCAAACCCACTCTGGCATTTCTATTAACTGTCACAAATTGGGGGCCTTGGTAAGATTAAAATGAATATTTAAAAGCAATCCAATTTGCATTGTCTCATGTTTCATTGTAGATTGAAAACTAATTTCTTCACAACTGCTTTTTGTGTTTAGTTTATTGTCCTTCCCCCCGCACCGCCGATTAACATGGTTCGCTATGTACGGTATGAAAGAAGTTTGAACATAGATACATACATAAATGTATAGGTTGCATACATTGAAAATAATAGATTCTTACGTGCACAGCTCAATGTACAGTATGTGTAGTGAGTCATTCAGGAGGCAACAACGTTTATTCTACACTATATATCTTACACACTGTTCACACGCGGGATAACTAATTACGGGTCAGAGCAGCCAACATGCTGTCTGACCCACAACGCCGGAGACAGAGACGAAGATGTAGCACCTCGGGTTCCATTCCACCTGTAGACAGCCCTGATTTAGTCTCAGGGCTTCCCTTTTATGCCCTTCAGCGTGGCCTGGCTCAACCCTCGGCCACACCCCCTTCTAGAACCTTCCAGGAGGTCCTGGGCCGACCTCCACGTGCCACCTGCCCGGCTCCGCCCTTAATCACGCCCCCTCCTGGAACCCTCCAGAAGGTCCTGGGCAATGCTCCCCGTGTCCCCTTGGTCAGCTTTGCCCTACATCCTTCACCCCCATCACGTGACGTGTCCCCACATGCCCCTTTCCGCCAGAAGCCAGTACCACGCCCCCTAGGGACCCACGCGTGGTATTACATGCTGTGCTGGCTGCTCCACCCATATTTCCTTATCCTATTGTACCCAGTGCTACGCGCAGTAGTAATCCATTCTATGTCACTAATTATGTATCGTGAGCGAATGTATTTTAATCAGTGTATCGTGATGCACATTCCTAGCCATCACTGTCAATTTCTTTATAACTTTCCTCCTCTACAAAGCCACGTTCCACCGGCCAACAGCCTCCGGTCCTGCTGTTTCACGCGACGCACCTGCGTTATTGATGAGTCCCCACCCAGCGACGTAGCAGAACGTCCCTGGAAAAAACTGCTCTCTTCCTTCGGGCAAGCACACCGGCTGGATTTCATCTGGTGACACGGAAACAAGGGCATCCTCGAGCTTTTCGGACAAGGCCGGCACAAGGGTATGTGTGTTGAACTTATTTTGCATCATACATAGCCAACCATGCTATCGCTGGGGTTAGGCCCAACACCAACAAATGCCCCTTTGGCCCACACAAGATTCATCCTCCTTAGCGAGTGCATTGCTATAATACGAGCATTACGGGCCGCCTGAGCCAGCCTGTTACAGGACGAGCGCAGTTAACAAAAACGTTTCTTTCCCCGCACCTCCAATTGGCAAGGTTGGCTACGTACGGTGCGAGAAAATTCAACTAAAAGGAACATAAATACATAACGTTGGCATGTGGTCAGGAACCAATACCTGTCAACCCCTTATCAGTGCCTACCTTATTAGAGACCAATTCAGACCTTGTTGGCCACCCCGTGACCTTATAAATCTTAACGTTCATCCTACAAAGTCCCATCACAAGGAAGAATCACAAACAAATAGAAAAAAACATTTATTTTGCCCTATTAAAACGGCTGTATGCAGTATGGACCTGAAAACTAAATTTCCCTGTACAATAATGCGGGGTAAAACCGTATCGGTTGACACGGTATGGGTAACCCTTGGACCAAAGTTGGGAATTGTCGACGTTCTACGTTTGCTGGGGCAACTGACCAGTGTAGTTGACCGGCGAGGCGAGGCGCAGGAGGGCGATGTCGTTGTCTTTGCTGTAGTGGTTGTAGTCGCGGTGCATGTGGACCTGGGCCACGAGCCGCTGCTCCACCACACTGGACGAGAAGTTGAGCTGGGAGCGCAGGCCGAACGCAGCCGTCAAGTCCACCGCCTCGTGCCTGCCACGAGCACACAGCAAAGACAAAGATTCCCCCCGTATAGCCTTGATAGACTGTTGGGGCAAGTGCTGTTATTGAGCAGCACCTATGAAGGCCGGCACGGTACACGAGGGGATGGGTTGCCAGCACCGCGCCCGACCGCCTTTGTCTCCCCAGTGGCGATGTTTACTACACACCGCACCAGGTTCTCATTTGAGGCTGAATCGAACTAGGGGAGGCCCAGGACCTGTTCAGATAATCGTTGTCACTGGTGTTGGCTGTGAGCGGGAATCGAACCTGGGTCGCCTACCGCTCCCTACACAGCACAGCACACAACACACAGACAAGGGTCCCCCATATAGCCTTAATAGATTGTTCGGGCAAGTGCTGTTAGCGAGCACCTATGAAGGCCGGCACGGCACACACTGGGTTGGCTACGATGGGTGGCCAACACCACGACGGGCCGCCTTTGTCTCCCCAGTGGTGTTGTTTTATACACCGTACCAGGTACTTATTTAAGGCTGAATCGACCTAGGGGAGACCCAGGACCAGTTCACTTATGCACCATTATTGGTAGTGAGCGGGAATCGAACTTAGGGCACTGTGTTTTTTTGTAGCGCAGTGTGCTAATCACTCCATTACCGCTCCCCACTATACAACACAGTATACACCACAGGACATGACACAATACAATCGCTACACAGCATACAACACATAGAACACAACGCACAAAAATACAACACGGCACATAACTCACAAAGTATAATGAGCAGCACACAACACCCTACATATAAAACACACACACACACACAGGAGGCCTTCATCCAGCAAGGGTTGTAACCTCACCAGTAGGATACAGAATTAATCAAAGTCTCTTTACAGAGCCCCAACCAATGGTTGGCTGGTGCAGCAGGAACAGCGAGGGAAGATACGCGAGACGTTCAGAGGGCAGCGTGGACAGCCGGGGGCTCTCTGGGCAGCGTGGCCAGCTGTCGCCCCATCCAAACCCCCCCCCCCCCTGAGACGCACCCCCTGACGCAGTGCGCAGCGGTGAGGAGCCAGTCTCTGGACAGCAGCGACGCCCCGCACAGGTGCCGCTCCTTGGAGCGCAGATCCACCATCCACGGCCACGCGCCAGGCGCCGCGTCGCTCCCGTGCACCACGCGGCTCTCCGGCACGAGCCGCCGCCTCCCGCACGCTAAAACCACGGGGACGAAGACAAAAATCCTCCTCCGTGTAGCCCTTCAACAGACTGTTGGGGCAAGTGCCGTTAGCGAGGAGCAACCCATTAAGGCCGACACGGCGCACAAGGGGAGGCCCTAGGACCGGTTCAGATAACCGTCACTGGTATTGGCCGTGAGCGGGATTCCAACTCGGGTAACCTGGTTAATAGCGCAGTGCGAACTCGACACACACAGACAAAGATCCCCCGCGTAGCCGACACGGGCTGCGATTGGAGCAAATGCTGTTCGCGAGCAACCTTTCGAGGCCGACACGGCACACGAGGGTGGTGGCGCGGCCAGCACCATGCCCCGGCTGCCGTCATTTACACACCGCAGTCGACTTAGCGGAGGCCTGGGACCGGTTCAGGTCATCGCCAATGATCTTAGCCGAGGGCGAAAATCGAACGTGGACTGCCGGATTCGTAGCGCAGTGCACTGCTACAACCACTGCACTACCGCCTCCCCACACGGGAGACTAAGGAGCGCACATGCGTACGCTCGTGGAGAGTGCGACACTTACATCATTGTCACGCCAGCACAGTGAGGGTCGCACCGTTACGTGAGTGATGTGGAACCCTTTACACGAGCTCATGGGTGGCAGCGCTGTGACACGAGAATGTGATCGCTCGTAGGCCAACGCACAGCCGCGTGAAAGTGTACTACACGCGTGCGGGCTCCATTCCACTGGCTCACAATCCAATCCCAGATCAATTTCAAGATCATCCTCACCAACTCCAAGATCCGCTAATGACTCGCCCCTGCCTGGCTCTCCCGTCGCATCTCACTCTGCTCCCCTGCACGCACTCTCCGCTAAAGCGACCGAGGCTTTCTCTCGAAGCCTTCAGTCAACCTTTGCTAAGCGGGAGGTCACTGTTTCTCCTCTGCTGCCAACACGGTCTGGAACTCCCTTCCCCCAGCCACCCGTGCTGTCGACTTCCCTGCACCTGTTCAAGTCCAGGCTCAAGACCTCCTCCTCTGCGTATGACTATCTTTAACTCTTCATTAAGTAAATAAAATACACCTCCATATCCCCATGATGCCGCCACCGTGTTCCGTACTGCACCTTGATAGGTAGTCGTATTTAATGCTGCGTGAGTGCGAAACGTGCGGTTGACTCGCACTCACGAACGTGGGGGAGAAGGTGGCACAGTGGCACACGCGTGCATTCGCGAGCAACACGGCAACCTCAGCTGACCTTTAGGGATGCAGTTCACGTACAGCACGCGGCCGAAGTCACAGCTCTCACTGCCGGCAGAAGGGAAAACGAGGGTGTTTGGTCAACGTATCATTTTTCAGTGACCGCCAAAGAGTCTTGGCCGCTCCACCAGACTTGGGCCCCCTGCCCAGAGCCTGCGGGGATGGCTCGTGGGCGGTAAGGATATGGGGGCAGAATGTTCCAGGAATATCTCGTCAGGAATGCTGTTTATTTTTTGCTGTGGCTCTGCATGATGACGACGATGATTACTCAGAGTTTTGTGAGGGTAATGATGAACTCAGCCCACACGTTCAGTGATAATATATACAGTGATAATATATACAGCGCGCTTGGGCAAGACACCGCGAGAAGGGACGCTAGCCTTTGGGTCAAGAGTAATAACGGAGTAGCAGCCAAGGATGGAACGCGTCCGAGAGGATCGTGAGAGATGGCGGCGCTTCGGGACTTCCTTCATCCAGCAGTGAATCGACCATGGCTGATGATGATGAAATGTGTACGGTACTGCCAGCTCGCACATGCTCACACAGATTTTGTGTGTGTGTCACCACGTATGATGAGACTGGCGATGAGCTCTATGCCCCACCCCCTGCCATGTGGGAGGAAGCGGGCTCGGCACGGCAGACCTGATCACTGCACCCACGCTGCTGCTGCTGCTGCTGTTGAAGAGGGAGACGTAGGGGCCATAGCCCGCGGCGGCCACCAACGCACTGCCGTTCAATCCCCTGCGGCAATGGAAACACATCGAGCACGCTCAGCAACTCTGGGTTGCAATGGATATAAACAGACCTTCGCTCTGTCTCCGCGTATAAATACAATATTTCGTAGTCATTGGCCTATTGCAATTGTAGACCAATACTATCCAGCGGCGTGTTTCGTAGAGCAAACCTACAGACCAGTTCTGACCTGCAGCCGAGTCACGCTTGTTAAACAAATGTTGCCGTGTTGCTAGCGGTTATCCGTCTCGAAATCTAACGGTCCGACGACTAAAACGGATTTTTTTTTTTAAATATGTGGAGATGCAGAGCGGATTAAATTTAGTTTATTTTTTAAATATTTGACTTGTGAAATGTCAGCGCTCACGGGTATCCCGTGGAGAGACAGGTGTTTCTGGCCAGCTCCTCCAAGCTGTCGTTGGCGCACAGGCCACGCCACCGGCCGTGCACGTAGAGCTGCACCACGCCGCTCGCCACCACCGTGCTGTTCACCAGCCGCGCTGTAAGGAGACGTCCGCGCGTTAGGGCTCTCGCCGTCACTCGACGGGGACGACGCGTGGAGGGTCGCGGCTGGCACGTGCCGCCGCTGCCAGCAGGGGGCATGCTGGCACTCTGGCAGTGTTCTTCACTGATTTTCAGAGGTGGGGGGTGGGTGGAGCACTTTCGCCGATAAGACATCATCAGTGTGAGGTTACACTTGAAGCCATTGAGGGTTTGACAGCAGCGCGATGATGATGGGGGGTATTTTTATATTTGCGTATTGTCGGGGGGGGGGGCGCATGTCAGGGGCCGCACTAAAGGCCACCAGGGGGCCGTCAGTGGCCCATGGGCCTTGCAATGAAGAACACTTCACTCGGGCGAGGGGTGTGCTGCCTTTTTCGAGCACAGGCCACATTGAGGGTCACGTGGAAACCTAGCGAACGCGATGTCGCATTAACGAGAGTGCCGGTCACGTAATTCGTGTATTTGTTAACACGCGTCCCTAGCCTGGTCACGGCAAAGAGTCGGCTGAGTTGTTTAACCAAATTGGCACGAAGCTCGTCACACACCACCATCAACCCAAACAAAGCATCGGCAACCATTTAAATCCATATCGGGTCTAAACGCAATCGCATCTCAAGACGCTTTTGCAAAATGGGGAAACAAAAACTAAGTTAGGGTAGAAAGAGGGGTGGTGAGGGCAGGGAAACACGGGAGAGTGAAGAGAGAGCAACACCGCAGCACAACCATGGACAAAGCAAACTGTGGCCCAGTGCCAACACCAACAACAAGCGGCACCACGGACAGCCAGCGCAGCCAGGGCAGCACCAGCTCAAGCCTATGGCTGGGACCTCTTGACACACGTAGACTGGCAACAGATGTCAGAAATGTGTTGGCCCTCGCTCCCAGCGTTTGTTGCAGATTCCCCCAGGGGCATGGTGGCCACACAGCAGGTGGGATAGCGGCGCTTTACCACAGTGCTTCTCGTCGGACGTGTCCGTGCAGTCGGGACGTCCGTCGCACACCGCCGAGCTCGGCACGCACTGGTAGTTGTCGCACTGCGACTCGTCGTTCCCGCAGAGCGCTGGAAAAAAACACGGTCATAGCCGGGGCAGCCACTGTTAGCAGCATCACCACTGTTAGCACCACCATCACCACCGCTGTTAGCGACAACCACCACTGTTAGCACCACCATCAACACCGCTGTTAGCACCACCATCACCACCGCTGTTAGCGACAGCCACCACTGTTAGCAGCATCACCACTGTTAGCACCACCATCACCACCGCTGTTAGCGACAACCACCACTGTTAGCACCACCATCAACACCGCTGTTAGCACCACCATCACCACCGCTGTTAGCGACAGCCACCACTGTTAGCAGCATCACCACTGTTAGCACCACCATCACCACCGCTGTTAGCGACAAGCCACCACTGTTAGCATCACCACTGTTAACACCACCATCACCACCGCTGTTAGCACCACCATCACCACCGCTGTTAGCGACAACCACCACTGTTAGCACCACCAACACTGTTTGCAACATCATCACCACCGCTGTTAGCTCCACCATCACCACCACTGTTAGCACCACCACCACTGTTAGCAGCATCACCATTATTAGCAACAACCACCACTGTTAGCACCACCACCACTGTTAGCACCACCATCACCACCACTGTTAGCAACAACCACCACTGTTAGCACCACCACCACTGTTAGCACCACCATCACCACCACTGTTAGCGACAACCACCACTGTTAGCAGCATCACCACTGTTAGCACCACCATCACCACTGTTAGCACCACCATCACCACCACTGTTAGCGACAACCACCACTGTTAGCAGCATCACCACTGTTAGCACCACCATCACCACTGTTAGCAACAACCACCACTATTAGCACCACCCCACTGTTAGCACCATCACCAATGTTTACACCACCACCACTTTTAGCACCACGACCACCACCACTGTTAGCAGCATCACCACTCTTAGTACCACCACCATCAACCACTGTTAGCACCACCACCACCACTGTTAGAAAAGGTATGTTTTAACATTTTTCGCACCGTACGTAGCCAACCGTGCTCATCGAAGGTGCGGGGGAAGGATAGGGTGAGTGAGAGGGTAGCACCACTGGTGGGGTGACTAGTTAGTTAGGGTTGGTTATTATACCCTGTCCTCAAAACTCTTTGCCCTCATCCCCATCCCCCGCATCCTCCGCTCGCCGTCACGAAGTGTGATCTTCTGAGGTTGTGGTTACTTTCACCTCGAGTGTTCACAGCGGAGCTTGGCGGCGGGGAAGCAAAAACACTCAAGTGTCGTTTGGTGCAGGGGGTGGTGGAGGTGCGTACGGGGCATGCCGAGTCGGAAGCCGGTGGTGAAGTTTGCAAGGAAGCCCTTGGAGTTAGTGACGAAGTCACTTCTGAAGCGCACCGTCATCACGCTGCCCGTCGAGAACAGATCGCGCCCAGGTCCACTGCCTGAAAACATCCCTGCACGGACAGATGCGCGCACACATACAAAGACAAATATCCCCCGTAAAGCCTTGACAGACTGTTGAGGCAAGTGCTGTTCGCGACCACCTATGAAGGCCGACACGGCACACGAGGGGGCGGGTGACAAGCACCACGCACGGTCACCTTTGTCTCCCCCAGTGGTGATATTTACACACCGCACCAGGGACTTATTTGAGACTGAGTCGTCCTAGGGCAGGTCCACGACCGGTTCAGATAATCGTCACTGGTGTTGGCTGTAAGTGGGAATCGAACTCGGGCCGCAGGGTTCGTAGCACCGCAGCACTACTGCTCCCCATACAAATGTAGTGCAGTAGAACCACGCGGAGACGAATACTTTAAGGGCTGTTGCCATTTATTAAAACACTGTCACACTCGACATCCTACGCTCACACCAGTGTAGATGCACTCTATCTCGGTCATTTACCCCGGACACAGAATACTATTTGGGTCCTACCCTCGGCTATCCTTTGACTCTCTCACTCGTCTGCCCGAAGTGGGGGTTCAGCCAACACCGCTCCACGACGAGGAGAGAGACTCTCTTCCAGCCGACCCTTTACTGAATACTACGGGACCCTACCCTCGGCCCACCCCACCACGTCCTCCCGGAGTTTACCGATGAGCATCGCGCTGGTGCTGTTGCCGTCATAGACCATCACCATGTCATTGTGAGTCTCCGTGTCGAAGTCCTGGAAGTGCAGCTGCACATTGTCGCCCTCCTGTGCCCGCAGGAACCAGAAGCCTGCGGGACACATAAACATGTATGTTGAACTGTACGTAGCCAACCGTGCTAATTGGAGGTGCAGGGAAAAAAAACTAAACACAAAAAGCAGTTCGAAAGAAAAGAGTTTTGAATATAGATTATTTAAAAGTACACAGCTCCAGTGCCTTTCTCATATTGGAAGAAAGAGTGTTCCAGACGGCCGCAGAAGCGCATCTGAACACGCGCGATGCAGTGACCATCTTGTGGACAGGTTTATCATCTCTCCCGTCTTCACGTCTGTCTCCTGTCTGCTGCCTATATTTTGTCTCCAATCTTTAGCGCACCACGGTGCCGAGATGTTAACTACCTCGCCTGGTATACAGAAGGTTCGTGGATTTGATCCCGACCGTGACGCCTGTATATTTGGAGTTTTCACAATATCCCTGTAGTTGCATGGATTTTTCTCCGGGTCCTCCGTTTTTTTCCCTCCACATTTAGAAACATGCTTTTAGAGTATTTGGCTGCAATACATTTCCACGTGATAAGCCACTTCGTTGAGTTATCATTTGGTGGCCAGGTCGCTTCTGAAATAGAGCTATAGAGCTCAATGGGCCTTACCTGGTAAAATAAAAAAATAGTTTATAGTTTTTTTTATAGTTTTAGTTTTTTTTTATCTGTCTCTTGTCTATACGTGTTTCCTGTCATAATCTGTTCCCTGTCTTTATGGGGCAGAGACGTGGCCTCATGCAGGGCACTCATACAAGTGTTGTGTGCTAAATGACGATGGGGAGGCAGGTCTTCTTGTAAGGGCTTGCGCCAGTTCATTAACAAGGGTTGGTGACAACTGTCACCAGAGGAAGGTGCCCTACACTTGGTCCTTCACGTGGACCCCCGGCTCTGTCTGTCCCTAGCTCGGCTATCTCTTGGGCTCTCTCTCTCTCGAGTCGGATCGGGGGTTCAGCCAACACCGACCGACCGAGGAGAGCAGCACCTTCCACGACTACCGCTGGCTTCTCTCCAGACTCCCTGAGCTCTACCCCTCTGACTGTCTCTTCAACCGCTCTCTCCATCCCGGGCTCCCACAACGACTCCGTTACGTCACGTCCCCAAACTACTCCTCTACACAAGCACTCACGCAGAGCACTCCGCAGCTCACATGGGGCACTCACTCGTACAGGTCACTCGTACACGACACTCATACAGTGCGCTCACAAAGGGTGTTGACGCTGTAGTTGTTGGGGTAGTTGGGAGACGAGAACGTCGTGTTGGGTTCCCAGAGCTCGACAGAGCCGCAGGACTCTGCAAATCAAATACAAAAATTGGAACGTTCGCTATTCTCCATGTTCGTGCTGTGGCACAAGAATTGTCACTCGGGCGTTCTGCTTCACAGACGAGTACTGTCTGCAGTAGAGGCCGACCGAAACTGAATTTTTGGTTTCGGCCAAAACCGAAACCAGACCGAAAGTAAAAAAAATACTTTCGGACGAAACCGAAACTATGCTGAAAGTGGCCATTTGCCAACTTTCAGCGCCGAAGCCGAAACCGAATTTCGGTCGGCCTCTAGTCTGCAGTACTTGCACAGTCGAGGGGGATATTGACATGTGGCTGTACCCATTTAGGTGGTTTGTGAGTCATTTTAAAATTTGCTAAAATTTGGACCCTGATACTGGCAAGCATGGCCTACTCTTTCGCAAATGTGACGGGATCTGTATCTATATTGAACTTCTTTCCCACCGTACGTAGCCAACCGTGCTAATCGGAGGTGCGGGGACAACAACATAAGCAGACGGTGCGTAATTTTGGTTAACTTGGGCAGCTGCTGAATTAGAACAGCGAACCTCGGCAAAAAGCAGCAAACGTGTTACCACTTGGCCGTGTCAACATCGTGGAGTGTAACCAACAGCTCAGGGGTGAATACGGGGCCTCTCAGTGTAAGACTATAAACGATGGGATTCCTACACTCCTGTCCTCATGGCTGTCGACCATCGCTGCTCGTTTGTCCACATTTGTCAGTCAATTTCGGTAAAATTAAGATTTTTATGTATGTTCAACTTCTTTCGCACCGTAAGTAACCAACCGCGCTAATTGGAAGTGCGGACGAAGGAGAACAAAACTAAACACAAAAAGCAGTTCTAAAGAAATTCGTTTTCAATTTAGATTTAAATGTCACTGCACATCGCATGGATTTGACGATTGGTAGCAATGAAATGTGGATTTGCGTGAATACTCTTATACTGATGCTGTTCAGTGCCGGATTATCCTAGTAGCAAAAGTAGCTACATATGTAGTAGTAGCTACGGGCCCCGCACTTTCAAGGGCCCAGCGCTAAATGCTTTCAAGCTATCAATTCCGGTTCAGTGATTCTGCACTTGCTTTATTACTATAGTGCTATACTGCCTTCAACTTTTATGAACGACTGGGTGTTTAAGGTTAGCGATTTGTCGTATTATCTGGCTGTAATAGCAAATCAAAAAATACAATTTACTATGCAATTGAAAAATCTGTGTTTTAATATTAACTTGTTTTATTTATTTAGGGCCCCATTATAATGTATGATACAGGCCTTAATCCGGCACTGCTACTGTTTAAACCCAAGATGACGTAGTTGAAAATGGCAGTGCCTACAACTACCTAACATGGTAGTCGATAACCGAACAACAAGATCGTGCAGTGCATACAATATAATGTGGTCGTACCTTTTGACGTGACGGGGACCAAAGTAGACGTTAAGGTCGGTGCGCTGGTATTGTTTGGAGCTGGAGTGGGTTTGTAGCTCGGTGTGCTGGTATTGTTTGGAGCTGGAGTGGGTTTGAAGGTTGGTGCGCTGGTCTTGTTTGGAGCTGGAGTGGGTTTGAAGGTTGGTATGCTCGGCTTGTCACCTGTGTGTTTACGAAGGTTACTGTCAGATTTATTCCTTGAGTTGTCAATCAATACTTTTGTGATGGATATTACTAGGGTTCAAAAGAATAAGGTATGAATTGCGTCCAATATGTACAGTTTTAAAGGTCAAATTTTATTATATCAGATATTTGATATAATGATTACAGGGGTATAGTAGCTTGGCTTACTGAATGAATGTCTATATCAGGGAAGAGTACATGTTCAAAATAAAATGCAATTTTTTTTTTTTTATTAAAAATGAGTGCACCATTTTTTTGTATCCAGGAGAGCCACACTGAGTCATATGACTTTCATTCAGGAGGATTCTACATTGTTTCTTACATTCAATTGAGATTTTTTTTTTCAGACAATTAGTGAGTCTCAATACACGTGCGAGGAAACCGGAGCACCCGGAGAAAACCCACACACACGAAGGAGCAACACTCTCCTCCCGTAAGATGGACACAGATGACGATTAGTCCTCACTCCATACTTTGCTGTACTGCCTTCTCCTGGCGAGCCAGGGTGTGAGACACCTCGACACCCACGGCAAGGGAGTTTTCACAACAGTTGTGTGATCCACCAACCCCGTGACTACATGGTGCCGGATTACAGGCGTGTACCACCACTGTCCCGATACGTATGCCATCTGAAGGTGCCATAAAATACAAAAGGAAAGACTCGAGCATTATTAGATCATGGGGAAAGATTAGGTTTTTGTTATTGTTTGTTTTGGTAAAGGGGAGGAAATTTTAGCAAGAGCAGGACACGTTTACATCTGGAAAGATGGAAACTCCTCAACTACTAAGTTCCCTGTATTGTTTAGCACACAAAAATACACATCCTAAATTGCTAGCCACTCTAAGCAGTGGCGTAGCTCTTGAGTGTGCAGGCAGTGCAACTGCACCGGGGCCCACAGGCCTGAGGGGCCTCGGCAATAGGCCACAAAGATGGGGGAAATTGGACAGGGGCCACTTTTCGTTCGTTGGACCAGGGCCGATGCCAACTACAAGAGGTCATTGAACGGTACAACATTCACACCACAGACAGTGTGAAACCACCAAAGATACCTGATGTAGCTCAAAGTCAGAGGACCCCATCGAAGGTGAAATCACAGTGGACCAAATGGTATCTGATTTAAAAGCTACTGCCTCTCAGCAAATGTAATTCGGCTGTCGGTAGGGCATACTGCTGAATATAAATCTGCCCGGTGATTTAAATCACAGTGCGGTGGTTTTAGTGGATGGTGGCGTTTGCCTCTCAGGTGTAGTTCATCTCCTGGTAAAAATATACTGCCTCTTGCAGTGGCTGTGCTTCTTTGGCCTACTGAAAATGTTCCTGCCTTTGGTGATGCTTTGATTACCCAGGGTCCCACGACTGTTAGTTGTGGTATCACTGTCACTTTCACAGTTTTGCTCAATGGAAGGGGGGGGGGGGGTCCTGCAATCCAAAGAATATTCCTTGAAGGCCCGGTGTCGAATTTATGACGCATATAAAGAGCCGGGTGGCCAGGTGCGGTGACATGAACCCCGTCGGTCACGATGTCAGCTCGACTTTACATTGCTCTCGTGAGCGTGGTTAGAGGTAACACATCGGAGCTTGAGAAGCTGTTTTCCGTGCGTGACATCATGCACGCGGACCCACGGTGAGCCGTCGAACGCACCGTACACTTGCACGCTGGCGATGTCCACTTCGAAGGGCGGCAGGAAGCCCACGTTGGACACCGGCGTGCTGGGGCTGATGGCTGCCAGCAGGGTCTCCTGGGCGGTCCCCACGAGCCCCTCGGACATGGCCAGCGTGAACTTGAGCCCCAGCAGTACCCACACGCTGCCCTGCCTGAACGCACGCATTCTTGCTCAATCGGCGTTGCCACCTCCGAGGTGCAAAACAAAAAAAAACCGGGACGTGTCACGATAATAAGAATATCTCACCGCAGTATACCAGAAGAGGGGAGAACTACATGGAAATAAATTGTCTTGAGTGGTGTATAATTTATGAAAATTGACAAAACAATAATCAAGATTTTTTTTTTCCCCGGAAAGGCTAAAATATTTTCCAGGACAGCTACCTCAAATGTACGTATGTGTGTGTGTTGAACTTCTGTCGCATCTTACATAGCCACCTGTGTTAACCGGAGGTGCGGAAGGGTAATCACGGGAAAAGGAGGACAGATGGCAATCACTCACTCAAACGCCACCACGCGACAGCCGGCGTAGTCGTTCTTCATGGAGCTTTCTGAATAAACTTTGTTAATCTGCAGGACACGTAGACATCGGACCTCACATGACAAAGTAACTGCACAAGTACCTTTTTTTATTTAAAGCTTTCGTGACTGCAGGGATTCGTATTCTTGGTTCTTTTGGTAAAGTCACTTAGAGGGTAAACAATAAAATAATAAAAATATAAAGCAATAAAATAATAAAAATATAAAACAATAAAATTCTCTTGTTTTATATTTTTATTATTTTATTGTTTCCCTTCTACGTGACTTTACCGAAAGAACCAAGAATATAAATACCTTATTCCTTACTGTAATCCAGTGTTCTTCACTAATTTTCAGAGGGGGGGGCACTTTTGCCGATAAGACCTCACGGGTCGTGAGGTCTCGCCACACGTTTGAACCCATTGTGGGGTTTGACAGCACGATGATGATGGAGGGTGTTTTGACATGTGTTTTTTTTACCTGGTTAAATAAAGGCAAATAAGGGGCCGCACTAAAGGCCACCACGGGTCGCCAGTGGCCCGTGGGCCTTGCAATGAAGAACACTGGTCGAACCCTGGGCAAGATTCCAAGGTAGGATCAAATCACAGAGTTTGCATACTGTGTTGAACCGAACCCGGATCTTGTGCCTGCTCAAGATTTTGGAAATATTTTTGGTGGTCCCTGCTATGTATGGCAAGGTGATGGTTTTGATTGGGTCCTCAGATGGTTCTCTCCCCATGGTTGAGATACAGCTTTGCGGATTGTGCGGTCTGAGTATTCATTCATCTTGAGGGCTTGGTGTACGTGCTCAAGCTCACTGGCTAGGTGGTGCTGGTCGGAGATACAGTGTTTTGATGAGGAAATTCTTCTGGGCTGGATGGTGGTGGGAATCAGGCTTTAGATAGGAATCAGTGTGGGTGGCTTTCCTGTAGACAGTGTCCCAACGAGCCATCAGGTCTCTTCTCGATCAAAACATCCAGGAATGGTAGTTTGCCATCATTTTCCACTTCCATGGTGAATTTGATGGATCGGTGTATGGAATTGATGTGGTTGAAAAATTGGTCCAGTGCTGTCTGGCCATGTGGCCAGATGACGAACGTGTGATCTACGTATCTCTTCCACAAGGAAGGACGTAGGGTGGATGTCAGGATGGCATCAGTTTTAAATTTCTCCATGAAAACATTCGCTACTACTGGCGACAAGGGAGAACCTATAGGGGTACCTTCATTTTGTTTGTAGAATGTACCATTACAGGTTAAGTAAGTGTTGGACCAATTCTTCAATGATTGCAATGGTGTCAGGCACAGGTACCTTGGTGAACAGAGAGATTACATCGAAACTGACAAGCAAATCATCTGGAGATAGTGAGATGTCCTTGATTAGAGAAACCAAGTGAGCTGAGTTAAGTACAGCTGAGGTGGTCTTGCCCGTGAATGGAAGCAGGGTCTCAGACAGAAATCGGGCCAGTTTGTAGGTGGGTGAGTTAATGGTAGATACGATAGGACGGAGTGGAGTACCTTCTTTATGGATTTTGGAAGGCCATAAAATCTGGGTGGTCTATCAGCCGAATGTTTTAGAGAGAGCTGCTTGGTCGAAGGACGTTATTAACCAGGTAAAGTCTTAACTGGCTGCGATGTTTCCTTCCGACCTGCCGAGTTTTAGCAGTTATTTCCCACTTATCTGAGTTGCATTGCCAGGTTGTATGTCTTTACATTGGCGTGCTGGATGCCTCACCGGCACTGCCGCCGCTGCTCCTTTCCCTCGATGCGGCGGTGACGCTCGTGTTGTGACGGACTGTGACTTGCTGCGGTGTTTCTGTCTCTGTGTGTGTCTCTCACGATCACGCGCGTGTCTCTCACGATCACACGCGTGTCTCTCACGATCACTTGTGTTGTGATCGGTGCACTTCTAGATTTAAAGCTTTCGTGACTGCAAGGATCCATACTCTTTGGTTCTATCCAGCGTTGTCCTCTGGACAGTCTGGTCCCTTCACTCACTCACTCACTCCACTCATTCACTCCACTCACTCCACTCACTCACTCGACTCACTCACTCCACTCACTTACTCCACTCACTCACTCCACTCACTCCACTTACTCACTCCACTCACTCACGCCACTCACTCACTCACTCCACTCACTCACTCCACTCACTCCACTCACTCCACTCACTCACCTCACTCACTCACTCCACTCACTCCACTCACTCCACTCACTCACTCCACTCACTCACTCCACTCACTCACTCCACTCACTCCACTCACTCACTCCACTCACTCACTCCACTCACTCCACTCACTCACTCCACTCACTCACTCCACTCACTTACTCCCCCCCCCGCTGCTGGTCCGTCATGGTCCCCACCCGCTCCTGGTCCATCAATTAAGCAACCATTGGAAAGATGTTCTGAATCAAACCAAACATTAAACTAATTTTCAATGGTACAGTATATTTTTTAAGTAGTGGTATCCCAAACTTTCGCAGCTGCTTAAATTCCCTTTTCACACCATCAATGTGGGCTCCCCCCTCTCCCCCTCGCCTGTCTGCACATGCTCCCCCCCCAGTACATCGTCCTTCATTCTAAGTCCGCCAATGAAATGCTAATTTTTTATGCTAATTCCTTTGTCAGGGCGCTCTGCTTTCTCTCACACAGCTTAGATGTCGCGGTCTGAGCTTGACTGTGTTCACTCCAGCGCTGTCCTCTGGACAGTCTGGTCCCTTCACTCACTCCACTCACTCCACTCACTCACTCACTTCACTCACTCACTCCACTCACTCACTCACTCCACCCATTCACTCCACTCACTCACTCCACTCACTCACTCCACCCACTCACTCCACCCACTCACTCCACTCACTCACTCCACTCACTCACTCCACTCACTCACTTCACTCACTCCACTCACTCCACTCACTCACTCACTCCACTCACTCACTCACTCCACTCACTCACTCCACTCACTCCACTCACTCACTCCACTCACTACACTCACTCACTCCACTCACTCACTCCACTCACTCCACTCACTCCACTCACTCACTCCACTCACTCACTCCACTCACTCACTCCACTCACTCACTCACTCCACTCACTCACTCCACTCACTCACTCCACTCACTCACTCCACTCACTCACTCACTCCACTCACTCACTCCACTCACTCCACTCACTCATTCCACTCACTCACTCCACTCACTCACTCACTCCACTCACTCACTCACTCCACTCACTCACTCACTCCACCCATTCACTCCACTCACTCACTCCACTCACTCACTCACTCCACCCACTCACTCCACCCACTCACACCACTCACTCCACTCACTCACTCCACTCACTCACTCCACTCACTCACTTCACTCACTCCACTCACTCCACTCACTCCACTCACTCACTCACTCCACTCACTCACTCACTCCACTCACTCACTCCACTCACTCCACTCACTCACTCCACTCACTCCACTCACTCACTCCACTCACTCACTCCACTCACTCCACTCACTCACTCCACTCACTCACTCCACTCACTCACTCCACTCACTCACTCCACTCACTCACTCCACTCACTCACTCACTCCACTCACTCACTCCACTCACTCACTCCACTCACTCATTCCACTCACTCACTCACTCCACTCACTCACTCACTCCACTCCACTCACTCACTCCACTCCACTCACTCACTCCACTCACTCACTCCACTCACTCACTCCACTCACTCACTCTACTCCCCCACCCCCCCCCCGCTGCTGGTCCGTTATGGTCCCCACCCGCTCCTGGTCCATCATGGCCCATGCACCTCCTACGTACATCGTGCTCATTTTTATGCTAATTCCTTTGCCAAGCGTTTTGCTTCCTCCCACACAGCTTAAAGGACGCGACTTGGGCTTGGCTGTTTTCACTCCAACGCTGTCCTCATGAGAGCACGGTCCCTTCACCTGATGAAGGCCACTTGTGTTGTGGCCGACACGTCGTGAATTTTTTTTTACGTGACTTTACCGAATAGAACCAAAGAGTATCAGTGCACTTCTCTCGCTTCCGCGCTTTTATGCGGGTCTCTGACCCCCACCCCCCTCCCGGGTCTAAATAACGCCGTGTCTCGCAGGCCGTTTTCTCTCTCACCTGAAGACGGTCGCTTGTTGTTGCGATCGAAACGTCGTGATCTATTATTTTGTCTACCTACGTGACTTTACCGAAAGAGTTATGGTTATTATTTTATCGTAAATAGCATTTAGTTTGGTTTCATTGGTTTATATGTTTCTGTACGCTTTATGACGTTGATAATTTGCTGTAATTCCGTAACGTGCGGCGAGGTTGGGGTTATATGTGTGTGGTACGGATATAATAATGTAAGCTCTGTCCAGGTCACCGATCTGGAAAATGTTTCTACACCGGGCATAACACATTTAGGCTACCCCTGGATAATCGCTGTGGCTACTCATCACGTGCCTCTCCGCCAGTCTGCCACCGACCAGGTAAAATATTCAGTGAGAATCTGAGCCCCAAGAATACATCAGTTATATTATTATTATAGCCAACAGCAATGGCTGCACCTCGCTCTGATGTAACATTCCTCGCACCCGACTGAAATCAAAGTACAACTTGAGCCCACAATGACGTTTGAGATAAACCAGTGTGAGATTTTTCCACAGAGCTCGCGGTAGTCAAACACAAATTGATTAAAATCTAAATTATGAACAAAATAGAGGTCAAAATGTAACTGTCGTTTTGTCTCATTAAATAAACTCAAACTATATTATTACGAGATATTTTTCTTTTAAAGAATGTCTAAAAATACATTTGTCTATATTTCTTTAACTGTACTCGGAGGATAAACTTTCAAGACGATTTCCATGATGGGAGAATCAGATATTTATTTATACTGGAGGAATCCGATTAGCTATAAAGCTCTTTGTCATAGATGTCCAGTAGGGGCGGGTAAGAACGTCCCAACAACAAACTGTACAAAAACATGATAGGAGTGCAAAGTACAAAAAAGGTGAACAAATCACCCAAACACATACAAATAAAACTAAACCATCCCCATCCCACCAGCCAAAGCCCACTAAATATTAACTTATTTTTCAAAAGCGACCTGGCCATAAATTATAGTTTAACAAAGTGGCCCATCATTTGGACATTTATATCACCAAAATAATCTAAATAATTTCAATGCATGTTTCTACATGTGCAATAAGTGGGCCAGACCAGCAAAAGATTGTTTATTCAGCATTTTATCAGTGAGTCAATTGTGAGTCATTGTGTCAGTTGGTCCATTTGGCACACAATAAAAATGGTAAACGGGGACTGGGAATATCTGGACCCTTCCTTACTGTCAATCCGTTGCTGCTTCCGCATTATACTTTGTGGAAAATAATTGGTAAACGATCATATGGCTGGATGGCTAAGAGGTCAGAGCACTAAGCAGCTCTGTTCAATTTATTTTCTTTCTACTTGACTTTACCGAAAGAACCAAAGAGTAATTCCTGCAGTCACGAAAGCTTCAAATCAAGTTTGCACTCTGTTCAAATCGAGGTTTTGGCCACCGATGATTACGTATGCATGTATGTTGAACTTGTTTCGCACCGTACGAAGTCAACCGTGCTAATCAGAGGTGCGGGGGAAGGACAACAAACTAAACAAGAAAATTAAATGAGGTTCTCGAGTGGTAATGTTCATGGTTTCAGTCTGGTCAACCATGACTGGAAAAAATGGCAAATCTGGTGTTTCACTTAATTTGGAAAATATTCTAGGCATGAGAATAATATAATATAATTGACTTTCATTCGATTATTATACCTTATCTCTGAAGTTTATCACGTGGAAAAGTGCGGTTCCCCCTGATGTCAATGAGAGTTCACTTGAAGTGATCTCAGATCTGTGATATCTGCTTCAGTGGACCATTCGCGAACATGTCGTGATGTACTGTTCTGAGAATTCCGAATGGACACTTTATCTCTTGACATGATCTAACTAGAAAAAGTTAACACATAGTAAAACATATTTGGTGAATATATTCCTGTTGGTTAAGCTACACATCACGTAGGGACCATACATTCTGGTGCAGGAGACGTTGAACGTTGATCTTACCGTGTGTTCAACATCAAAAGCCAGGATTTTGAATTCTGTCGAGGTCGGGTCATGCAACCGTGGGCTGTACAAGGCTCCTCCCACGATCTTCATCTTTCCGGAAATTTCATTTGTTTCTAAGTTGACCAAGACACAATTCTCATAAGCACCAAACTTGAGCAGTCGAGCATAAGGATACAAGTGCTGCCTGATCTTTATTTGGGTCACGTATAAATTGTTACAAATTTAGCCTGGATGAAAACGCCTGGCGTGTGTGATACAACACTGCGAACAACATCACACCCCCCCAAACAGTGTCATGTCTTCAAGGACATATTTACACAGTGACTTTATTGCACTGCATGCGACTTGTTTACAAGAAGGCTGGCTATTATTGACATGGAATTAGATATAACCATAACACAATCAATGCACGTACAAGCGCAGCACAATGTTGAGAAACTGCTGATGGTTTATTGCATAATGCTCGGAGGCTGAGAGCTTTTTACATGTGTCTGTGCGTAGTTTGATACCTATGGTTTTCCTTCCCGCATTATTTTCCTGTTATGATGGGATTTTCTTGTAATTTACAGATTTGACAATGTATGTATGTATGTTGAATTCCTTTCGCACCGTGCATAGCTAACCGCGCTAATCGGAGGTGCGCGTGGGAAGGATAACAATCTAAGCATAAAAAGCAGTTCTAAAGAAATTAGTTTTCAATCTAGTTTCAAGATTTCAAGTTATCATTTATTGATATAGCCCTGTGAGCCAGCGGGTCTTGAGTCGGGAGCAACCACAACAAGCTAAATATGAACAGAGAAACATCTTAAAGCGACGACGCGCAACATATATATCCTGGATAAACCAGCAAATCTTCCAGAAAATAAAAAAACACCGCATTACAACGCTGTGTGCAAAAATCCCTAAAAGTACACAGCTCATATCGGAAGAGCGTTCCAGACGGCCGCAGAAGCGCATGCGATGTACAGCTTAGGTTAAGCTTAGGTCTGCCAAATTACATGAGGGCTCACTGGTCTCGGATGCCACGCATACATTTACTTACTCGTACAACCCTGCGAACAGTATAGTATTTACTTGATGGTATTTGATTTTCAAAGAAAATGGTTGCAGACCGACAACATTTACAACATTTACTTTAAAATTGATGAGTGGCCGACCTTCGTCAAAGTCAAGTGGCAAAATGTGATGGCAATGTTGGAGGCAAAGGAGAGAAACGTGCCCGAGAGTACAGCTACCACCGGCGTGGTGGAGCGATGATATTATTAGCTCACGTGCAGGAGGCAGATCGACTGTGGGGTCGCGAGACCACGAGGGATTGCAACAAACGTGGGAAGAGAAGCTCTTGATCGAAACAGTGGTTAGATCCTGGCTGCTGGCAGTGCATCAGAGAGAGAGAGAGAGCATGACTTCTGCAACGGGCTGTGGATTTTTAATGTTTATCTAAACAACTAGTGGAAACAAGGCTGCCAACAATACGATACACACGTCGTTGGACTTGAGGGGGAAATCACACACGTTGAAGTTGTGGTCAGGTACACACTTACAATAAAGTGTAAAATGTAAATGGATTATCGTTCGGAACCGTACACTGGCTATTAAACTGCCGTGTAGGGAGTCTAGAAGATACAACTACAGTAACATCAGTTTGTCTTTAAAATATTAGGACACATCTTATTTGGTTCTTTCGGTAAATCGAAATATTAAGACACTCAAGACGTTTTACAGGCAAAACGTAATGTATAGTCTTACACCAACTATTCACACTCTCCCCTATGCACAATTTGTTCCACTGTACATAAATATTTAAAAAAAAAATGAGAGATGTAAAAATGTAAACAAAAGTAGCGAGTTATGCATCTTATTGTATTCACAAATGATACAGCATTGTTTGGTAGAACATGTAAAAAAAATAGGAACAATGCTTGTCTTGTGCGTAGCTTAATCAGTTACAGCCCCGACCTGCCAGCCTACTTCCTTGTGCGCAAATGAGCTTTCCATCGTTGCACCATAAATCATTTAATAGTGTAATTTGCTTTGTTTCTTAACAGACATGTTTCCTCTTTATGCAGCGTCATCGAGGAGCGAGTTGAGTATTTATTTGTGCACCACTGACCAACGCAGTGTCTAAATTTAACACGATATTCACAAAGAGGACTAACTTTATTTACATCCACGAAGCATGTGTAGGAAAACAATCGAATATCTTGGCGAACGATCCGTACAGACCCGAAAACACATTGCGAACATAGCTTCCCCCCAAACCCTGTTTTTGTACCAAATCCTTTCAACTCACCGTCCTTGGGGGACAGCTGGGAGTTGCCATCGATGGCCAGCCAGGCCACTGCGATGAGACCGGCGCACACCGCCGTGCCCAGGGCACAGAAGACTATCAGCGTGACCTCGAAGCTGGTCCACCTCGACGATCGCTTCCCCTTCACCTCCTCCATGCTCTCTCCGCTGCGCGTTATGCTTTGAATGGGATAGCTACAGCTTAAGTGTGCCTCAATGTGGCACAGCACCTCGAACTGTGCGGTGCACAGGAGTACTGGGGTGGGTGGGTGAGGGTATTCCGCTCTAAAATAGTTATACTTTGCATATTGCGCATTTCGAGACTTTGGCCGTGATTAATGTGTTTGTGGAACCACGCGTTATCTTTATTGCTCAGTCAATCTGAAATGGGCGATTTTGCAAGCGATCCAAAACTAGACAATAAAAGACGAACTACACGAGGTTTATTTTAGTGTTCATGACCTTTCACATTTTAGTATTTTGCATTTGTTGCTGAGGTTTTCTTTTTGTTTTACTTTCATGAACTAAGTCTTCCTTGAAAAATATACTTTTAGACTTGTTGGGCTCTTAACTGGTCATGACTAAAGATGCAGTCTTTCTCCAAAAATCCTGGATTATAACCCAGTGCAGTCGGTAGATCAGTAGGCTTCGAATTCGTCAATATGAGGATTAACTCAGCCACATTATCTTAATCTTTGGGGTAGGTAAAATAGGTACCACTTAGCAGGAAGTCATCAATTGTTGGAGTATAAATAGACTGGTCCATGTCATAGACTTGTGGAATTTCCAATAATCTCTCAAGACCACCGAAGAAGACCAGCATCACCCAAAGCTTTTTTTGAATACGGGGACAATTTAACTTTTGACTGCAGGAAAAGGAGGGATTTTTTTGGTGACAGTGTATTTGATTCATAATAAAGGTTTTTGGGTTAGATCGCGTTATTTATAAATGTGTCGTAACCCTCCGCCACCCGACACCGCCAATCAGCAAAAAAAGTGTCACGTTGACAAAAAGACAGATAGTTCACTACTTTAGCCCACCGGTGTGTTGAAGAGTGAATCCACATTTACAGTTTGAGTACGACGTTTCGCTGGTAAATACATCCAGCATCATCGAGCAATTCGCCAGAATGGTAAAGCCCTCGCTTGCTCCCGGTTTTATATAGAGCAGCAGGGTGACGTCATCACTTAACTCATATTAAGTGCAGTGATTAGAGGCGGAGGGGGGGGGGTATTGTAATTATATAATCGATTAGTAATCAGTTATTGGTTATGATTAGTAATGAGTTGTAGATTAGTAATTCTTTAAATCAAAATGTAATGCATATTATTTAATAATACGCTTCCAGGCCACACTAAACCTGTAGCTGTCAGAGCGATTAAAGTTATTTTTGTTCCTCTCAATTTCAATGGATTCTCTAATTAGTCTTTGCCAGTAATAATTAGTTTTACACACCACTGCAACATTGTCAAAATCAATTGAGTGTCCTTGTTGACAAGCATGTTCTGCCACTGCCGACAGTTGTGTTTGAGATAATTTAATATTTCTCTGATGTTCTTTTAGTCTTACGCTGATGTTACGTCCTGTCTGTCCAATGTAGCAGCTGCCACATAAACAATTAATCCGATATACACCTTCTGTTGATAATTTAGGTAATGCGTCTTTAGTGCAAGATACTAGTTTTTGAATTTTGTGTACTGTACCAAATCTTACTGTAATGTTTTGCTTTTGAAAAACACGGGCTAATTTGTCAGTTACTCCTGAGATATATGGAATTTTTATTGTTTTAACAATCTGGTCGCTTTCAGCAGTATTGCTTTGCGATCGTGATTTGGCATTCAGTGCTGTTAATTTGAGCATTATTGTAGCTATTCTGTCGTAGTGCGTCTTTAACGTGTTTAATCTCTCTCACTAGACTCTCACTATCTGACACTGTTTTAGCCCGATGTATGAGCGTATTGATAAGAGAGGATTTCTGAGCTGGATGATGATGTGATTCTGCATTCAGATAGGCATCAGTGTGCGTTTGCTTTCTGTAAACGCTGTGTGTTATTTTACCGTTTAGCAAGCGAGGGCTTTTCCATTCTGGCGAATTGCCCGATGATGCTGGATGTATTTACCAGCAAAACGTCGTACTCAAACTGTAAATGTGGATTCACTCTTCAACACACCGGTGGGCTAAAGTAGTGAACTATTTGTCTTTTTGTCAACGTGACACTTTTTTTGCTGATTGGCCGTGTCGGGTGGTGGAGGGTTACGACACATTTATAAATAAACGCGATCTAACCCAAAAACCTTTATTATGAATAATATTGGTCGCGAAAGCCTACGTGTTAAAAAGACAAATAGTTCACTACTTTAGCCCACCGGTGTGTTGAAGAGTGAATCCACAACATTTACAGTTTGAGTACGACGTTTCGCTGGTAATTACATCCAGCATCATCGGGCAATTCGCCAGAATGGTAAAGCCCTCCACTTGCTCCCGGTCTTAAATAGAGCAGCAGCAGGGTGACGTCATCATTTAACTCATATCAAGTGCAGTGATTAGAGGCGGAGGGGGGGGTATTGTAATTATATAATCGATTGGTAATCAGTTAATGGTTATGATTAGTAATGAGTTGTAGATTAGTAATTAGTTGTTAAAGTGTATTTTATTGTTCGGGAGCTGCGTGGGAATAGGAAGGCTGATAGTAAGAACTTGATACTTTAAATGTTCGCTGCTCCATGAACTCGCACCTCTCCCCTCACTCCACTCCTCTCCACACGCCCTGCTCCAGTGACCAAGACTTTTTCTTCAGCAGGGGGCTTTCTCATTCTTCGCTGCTGCCTCGGTTTAACTTAGAGTCATATTATTTTATCCTTCAAAATTAAATTGCATTTCGTTGAATACAGTAAAGCCGTCGTTATGATTTTCACTCTGAATAAATATTATTTTTAACTGTAGAACCTTCAACTTATATCCTTTATTCTTTGTTTTTTTATTATTTATCATACCTTCATATCACGCCAATGAACTCGCCCCTACTGGACATCTGTGAAAAAGAGCTTAATAGCTAATCGGATTTCTCTCAGATAAATACAGATTCTGATTCTTATACCATGTATAACTGCAATACAGATAAGAATAGATACGCGTATTCGAAAATAAATTTGATCAGTCTATGCTAAGTTCAAATAAAGGATGGCAAGCCCTACACTCAATGTTTCTTAAACATTATGAACAGTAAAACCTTTGAAAAACAGTGCTGTTTATATAATACTCGCTTTACTACCCAGCTTTGCCCGGGACTTGGATTCACGATGCCCGGCCGCCTTTGTCTCCCCAGTGGCGATGTTCACACACCATAGCAGTTACTCGTTTGAGGCTGAGTCGACCTAGCAGAGGCCCAGGACCAGTTCAAATAATCGTCACCGGTAGTGGCCGTGAGCGGGAATCGAACTCGGGTCGCGGGTTCGTAGCACAGCGCGCTAACCACTACACTACAATGCGTTACGCTTCCACACACACACAACAACAACCGCCATTCGCCACTAAGTGGCGGTGACGTCACCACGACGCTTGTGCCAGGCTATGTGCACCCTGAGGCTACGTGAAGTGTCGAACGCCTGCTGGCAGGAGGTCACGGGGCAGACCCAGGTGCCACGGGTCGACTGACTGAGATGACTGGCTGATGCACCACCTGTGCCCCCCACTGTGCCAACCCGTAGTGCTTTAGCCACCCGGCGCTCCGCTCGTTGTAGTGAGCGTCGCTCCTCTGCCCTCCGTTGTTGTTGGAGGGCGACTGCCTTCAACTGCCCAGTAGCATCCTTCACGAGCCTCCTCCACAGAGGCCGATCTTGACACCGCTGGTACCAGTCATCTTCAAGTCCACTCAGCTCCACGTCCTCCTGTACCACATCACTCCATCTCTTCTCTAGCCTGTGCCGCGCCCGCTTAGCCCCCTCGATCCGGCCGAACAAAAGCTGTTTCGGCATGCGGTGGCTGGGCATGCGGGCTACATGACCCAGCCATCGCAGTCTTGCCCGCCGGAGGAGCTCACCGATGGGACCTTGCCCAGATCCTTCAAGGATTTGTGAGCTCCTCATACAATCCAGTCTGGTTAAACCCAGGATGGATCGTAGGCAGGCCAGCCTAAATGTTTCTAACCGGCGAAGATGTTCCATTAGGGGGGTCCACGTTTCGCAAGTGTAGAGAAGGGAGGGAATGACCGTGGCCGAGAAGACCTGAAGCTTAGTCCAGAGCGACAGACCAGGTAGCTTCCACACAGCGTTACGCAACCGATGAAAAGATATTGCCGCTCGACTGATTCGGAGTGAGACCTCTGCTGTTAAACTGGAGCCGGTCATAAGCACACTGCCCAGGTATGGGAAACTCTCCACTCTCTCCACAACTGCCCCATCACCGATTGGGAGTTGTGGGGGTGGAGTGTCCGATGGTACAAAATACCCAGGCAGGTGCTTAGTTTTGGTGGGGCTGATGGTAAGGCCCCACCTCTTAGTGGCACGCTCCAGTCTCAGCAGCAGCGTCTCCAACTCCTCCTCTGACTGAGCAGCTATTACCAAATCATCAGCATACATAACGTGGTTGAGTAATAGGGAGCCATCCCTTGACCGCACCCGGGCATCGATCAGCCTCCCATTATATCTGTACCATATGGAGATTCCCCCGGTACAGCTATTGAAGGTTTCACGAACTACGTGGTCAAAATAGATGTTAAATAATGTGGGAGCCAGAGGACATCCCTGTCGCACCCCAAGGTGTACAGGGAATGGATCTGACTCCCGGCCACGTAGTTTTACCCGGGCCCGCTCACCATCATGAAGGTCCTTAATGATCGTGAGCAGAGGGTCAGGTACTCCAAAAGCACGAAGAACGACCCAGAGCCCAGGCCTACTGATGGTATCATAGGCCTTGACCAGGTCAATAAAGCAGAGATGTAGGTCTTGTTGGAATTCCCTACACCTCTGCTGTAGCAGACGGACAGAAAATATGGCATCTGTGCAGGACCGCCCTTTCCTGAAACCGCATTGGGGCTCCGCAAGCCTCTCCTCAGCGTGCCTGGCAAGGCGATGCTGAATAATCCTTGCCAGGACCTTTCCCGGCACACTGAGGAGTGAGATGCCCCTGTAGTTGTTACAGTCTGTGCGGTCCCCCTTCTTAAAAAGGGGGACCACTATGGCATCCTTCCAATCCTGCAGAACCCGTCCAGTGGTCCAGACTGTTGTTATGATGTCATATAGGGCAGTCTGTGCACAAACGCCACCCTCCCTCAGTATTTCGCTTGGGAGATCATCTCTGCCCGCTGCCTTTCCTGGTCTCAGACTCCGGATCGCCTTCAGTACTTCCTCAACAGATGGCACCTCAGCCAGCCACTCACAGGGGGTGACTTCTTCCAATATTTGAGGCATCGCAGCCTCAGCAGGGTCATCCTCACTTTGTGCCACGATGTTTTCCTGGCTGAGGGATTTTCCCTCCCCCAGGACCTCACAGAAATGCTCAGCAAATCTGCAAACCTGTTTCTGGGGGTCGGAGATTGGATCACAGTTTTTTCCCCTAATGATGGTAATAGGTGTGGCGCTGCAGGTTACTTTTTTGATGGAGTTAAAAAGAGATTTGTGATCACGGACCACTGAGGCAGACTCCATCTCCTCAGCAACCCGCGACGACCACCCATCCTTGCAGCGCCTCACGGCTCTCTGAACCTCCGAGCGAAGGCTGCGGTAAGCCTCCTCATTCTCTGACGTGGGATTCTGTAGCCGATGACAGTGGGCCTGTCGCTTTTCCTCAACCATCCTGAACACCTCCTCTGTCAGCCAGGGTCTCTGGGGAGGTCTGGACCGCGTACCCAAAGCAGCCATTGCAGCTGCATGAGTCACAGTCCTAAACCTCGCCCATTTACCCTCGACATCAGGAGGAGTCGGGGACGATGCCAATCCCAGCC